GGAGGGGAAGAGGAGAAACGGGGCCACCCTCTTGGACCCAGAACATAGCGTCTCTGTGTGGGCTGCCAGGTACCCACTGTCACACTGGACCTGGGCCCTCCCCATGTCACCTCATGTCATGCCACAGCCCAGCTCTGAAGGGGGAGGGAGAGAACAGGGGAGGAGGGAGGAGGCCACCAAAACACAGACAGCCAGGCTGGGAACTTCCCCTCCGCCAGGGGCTGGTCCCATGGCCTCAGTAAACAGGTTTCAAAACCATTAGTCAGCACTCTGGCCCCGCAGATCTGCCGCCTCAGGTTCCCAAGTCCCCAGACTAGGCATCTAGGGTCCCGGACCCCCACTGAGGCTGGGCCGTGGAGCCTGGGGGCGGTGGGAAAGCCCAGCTTCGGCCTCCCAGGCCAGCCAGGCCTGAGGTAGCCTCATCAAACAGGCAACCGCCTCCCTCCTGCCCCAGTGGCTGGCCCCAAATGCCAGCAAGAAGGAATCTCCCGTGGCCCCTCCCCACCCAGCCTGACGCGGGGAGAGACTGGCCAATGCCAGGCCCTGGAGTAATGTCAACAAACAATGGGCCTGCCCAGATAGGTGGGCCAGGCCGGCAGCATTGCTTGGGGGCCTGGGCTGGGGACAGGACTCCTGGTCAGGGCCACTGGGTCAGACGCTCCCCAGGACCAGGCTGTAGTCAGAGTAACCCTGATCCACCGCTGGCGCCTGTGGCCCTGGCACCCCCTCCCCAGTCCCACAGTACAGGAAGGGGTAACTCTCCCAGTGCACCCAGAGGAAGCTAGGCTGAGGACAGGCTCTTCAGAGTCCCCAGAGTCCCCAGCAGGGAAGGCCAGACGGGGGTGGCCCAGCTCCTTCCTCCACACATGAGAACCGTGCAGCACCAACCAGCGTCTCCAGCGCTTGGCCGGCCTGGGACCCAAGTCCCCGCGGCTGAGGCTATGCACAGGCCAGCCTGTGAGGGTAAAGGACCCCCTCCCCACCAGAACCAGGACGAAGCCCCCGCCTTACCTGGAAGTCGTACAGAGCCACGATGTTCTCATGTTTCAGTTCCTAGAACGGAAACCCAAGTTCCCAGTGAGCAGGCAGGCTCCGGGCTGCAGCTCCCCGCCTGCTCCAGGGCCGGCTCACCTTGAGGATCTTGATTTCCTTCCCCAGCAGCGTCTGGGACTTGGCGAGGTTCTTCTTGTTAATGCACTTGACCGCGACCTCCAGGTCGTGCTTCTGAAAACACAGCGCAGGTGTTCCTCGGGGGTCGGAGCCGGGAACCCCTCTAAGGCCATCCCCAGGCCAAGGAAGCACCCAGCGTGACCAGGCCGTGACGGTCCCCGGGATATAAGGGGGCCCCGGGGTGTAGGACGGGGTTCTCGGAACGTGGGGGTGGGTCCTCGAGGGATGAGGGGGTCCGGGGTGTAGGAGGCGGTCCCAGGGCGTGGGGCGGGCCCCCAGGTGACGGGGCCCACAGCCCTCACCTCCCGGTGGCGCCCCTTGAAGACCACGGCGAAGGCGCCGTGCCCGATCAGGTCCTTGCGCGAGAACTCGAACTTGCCCACGGTCTCCAGGCC